TTACCTCAAAAACATACTGAAATTGTCCCATGGCCAACTAGGAATCACAATGCACTTGTATCTCGTGAGCTCCCCCTTCTAAAGCTAGTTGTAAACCTTTGATGACAGCCTCGTACTCCACCTCATTATTGGACACCTTGAACCCTAACTTGGTCGCGAACTCCAGACTGTCTCCTTTAGGTGCAATCAGCATAATTCCCAAGTCTCGTAAAGAATGGAATATTCGCTCAACTCCACCGCCCACTTCACTAGTCGACCCGAAACAGAAGGCTGACCTAATGTTTCTCCCAAAGGTATACTCATCCTCACCTTCACATTATGAGTTACAAAATAGGGCCTTAACTTCTGTACTGTTACGACCACCGCCAATGATCCCTTTTTAATCACAGAGTATTTTAGTTCAGCTCATTGCATGACTCGTCTCACATTATATATTAGGTATTGAGCCATTCCCTCTTCACGAAGTAATATAAAGCTCACAGCTGCCTCCCCTATCGAGATGTACAAAATGAGCTCCTCATCTTGAATCGGTTTGGCCAACAAGGATAAATCGGCTAATATGACCTCCAACCTATTAAATGCTCCTTGTGCTTCGCTCGTCCACTGAAATTTCGAGCTCTACTTCAGAGTCCTGAACAGAGGACCACTACACTCTGCCACCTTCAAAATAAACCTGCTAAGCCATGTGATTCGACTAGTAAGGATTTAGACTTCCTTTACACACTTCAGGGGCTGCATCTCCACGACCGCTCGCACCTTTTCTGGGTTCACCTCAATTCCTTTTTTGGTCATCCTGTACCCAAGAAATTTTACCAACTTGACTCCGAAAGAACACTTTGCTGGATTTAGTTTCATGCCTTATCTCCTTAGTATGGTGAACGTCTCCCTCAAATCCCCAATATGATCGGCCTCATTCATGCTTTTGACCAGCATGTCATCGACGTACACTACCATATTTCGACCCAATAGTTATCTGAATATCTTATAGACCAACTTATTGTATGTTGCCCCTGCGTTTTTCAGCCCGAAAGGCATAACCACATAACAATAAGTACCCTTGCTCGTTATAAAACTCACTCTCTTCATGTCATCCCGTGCCAAGGGTATTTGATGATAGCCTTGGGACGCGTCCATCAGCCTCAACAGCTCGCATCCAGCAGTAGATTCAACCAGTTAGTCAATTCTTGGCACTGGATACAAGTCCTTCGGGCATGCTTTATTCAAGTCCCTAAAATCGATAAACATTCTCCACTTCCCTTCAGACTTAAAAACCATAACTGTATTTGATAACCACTCTGAAAATTGTATCTCGATGATGTGCTCAACTCTTAGAAGCTTGTCCATTTCTTGCTCGATCATCTTGTCCATCTCTGAACCATTATGCCTCCTTTTTTGCTTAACTGGCCTCACGCTGATGTCAATGTTGAGTCAATGCTCGATGATTTCTGCCTCGATACCCATAAGTTTCTCTGCTATATGAGAAAAATATCATCAAACTCCTTAATTAACCTTATCAACTTCGACCTCAGTGGCTCTCAAAGGTATTTTCCAATTGTAAACTTCATGTCCTCACGCCCTTCGATCATTTGTACCTCATCGATCTTGTCTTCTGGCTGGATAGCTTCTTTTTTCTTCTCTTTATGGAGCTTAGGTCTCTCTTCCTACGTCCTAGACCCACTTGGTCGATCTGGAATCTCTTCCTTAGGCCCTGTCACCATTTTGGCAGTCTGGCGATTATTTTTCACCGTAATCTGGTAACAACTCCTCGAAATTAATTTATCACTTGCAATTTCTCCAACATTCTCCTCAACTGGGTATTTGATTAAATGGTAGGTCGAACTATCTCCTGGAAAGCATTAAGCTAGTTCTCCTTAAAATGATATTGTAAGACGACTACGCACCAACCACCACGAATCGCACCATCCTAACCTTACAGGTTGCACCCGAGCCCAGGGCGACTCATAGAGCAATCTCCTCATAAGCACAACCTCATTCCCATTAAAACCATACAAGGAGGTCACAACCTCCTTTAATTCAAAGTTCAAATATCAATTGAGCTGTTTAAAGTAGTCGTAGAACATTACATCAACCGAGCTACCTATATCAATGAACACCCACTTGAAATCGTACCCTGCGACCTTCGCTGTGATGACCAGGGCATCGTTGTGGGGGAACCAACACTCCTTCAGCATTCTCAACTTGAAAGCTGATAACCTACTTTCTCTCTTTTTCTTTTAATAGCTCGAACATACTCATTCCTCGTGTTGTTCGAGTCGCCATCAGTTGGACCACCAGATATCACGTAAATGGTGCCCCGTTTGATCGGGGCTGCATCCTCTAGCTCATCTCAACCTTCATCGCCCTGCTTTCTTTGGCTTCCCTGATCTCTTCGTCCTCTTCGATCCCCTTTTCTGTCCTCGTCTTCCTCATCCATCTGGTCATCCTTCTAAAGCGATTCCTCCCTTCACTTCCTTGGTGCTTTTCTTTTTGCTCGATCATGATACAAAAATTCCTCCAAATGGCTTGCTCGAATCAGACGTTCTATTACATACTTTAAGTGCCTGCAGTTCTCCGTCGTGTGCCCATAATCCTTGTGGAACCTACAGTACTTTTTCAACCTTAGACGAGTAGGCCCCTCGTTCCTCGACCTCGGCCAAGTGATATCTCGATCATTCAACTTTCTCTCCATGGTCTCCAACACCTCAGCCATCTTTTGGGCTTTCAATGGTGTATAGTTATGATACCTTTTACTCCCCAACAAGGGTCGATCCTTCCACCTGTCTTTCTAGCCTCTCTTCGTCCTGCTATGTCTATCCCTCAGTGGTGAACTAGTCCTCTCCTACTTTTGCTCAGGTCGTGCCAGCTGCTCCAATTTTGTGAACTCCTCCTCTGTTTCTTCTAGATTAACATACTTCTTTCAATGCTTTAGCACCTTATCATACGTTCGAGCTGGTGTCTTGGCCAAAGAACTTTGACATGGACCAGCTCGAAGACTCCTTATTAGGCCGCCAGCCTTCACATCATCTGAAGTCGAGGGGATCTCGACATATGCCTGGTTATATCGAGCTACGTATTTCATCAGAAATTCTCCCTCATCTTTTCTCATTGTTATTAAAGTCAAATATGTGCTTCAAGGCCACAGCGCTCGCATATTGCTTCAAGAACCTTTCTAAAAGATCCTCAAAATCTCGCACTAACTCTGGGGGAAGCTGGTGAAACCAGTCTAGTGCTCTACCCCCTCAAGGTCGATATGAATGCCCTACAGCTCACAACATCCAAATATCCATGTAACATTGACATATTCTCGAATGATCGCACATGCCTTGATCGTCAGTGTTTTGGCCCAATTTGTGATGCGGATTGTTCGCATAGGCATCTGTCTGCTCGGGTTCAGACTCTTCGTCTTGGTTGTTGTTTTTTGGTTTTTCTTTGGAAATGTGTAGACCTGCGATCTTTCCGGCCTAATCATGGTCTTGGCTATTTACAGGTTGGGGTTCAGCCCTTAATGTCCCACCCTTCCAGGGTGTTTTTTTTTTAAAATAAAAAATAAAAAATAAAAAACTGCCTACCTTCGTTCCAGCTTCGGTTGAGATCCAATGAAAAGGAAGATTAATAATTTCGTCCCAGAGTTTTACGTTCTCTTCTTCCTTAGAGAATTCAGTATTGTTTGGGTCCCATTCTTTAAGAAACCAGTATTGTCTGTCAAAATTTCAGGTTTTGCCTTGGAGTATCTTCTCTTTTTCCTCCTCGCATTGGAAGAAGAAACTGTTACATATTAATGA